TCCGCGAGCCGGCGGAGCTCACGGCAGAGGATGCTGGATGGAAGAGACGCTGGGGCGGAGAGAGAGAAGCAGAAAAGGAGGGCGAGAGGGGGCTGCATCCCGCCCCAGGGGCTAGGAAAACACCCGACGGCAGAGGCCCGTGGATGTTACTCCTTCACACACGGTGGAATTAACACGATTTATTCCCAAACCCTGATGACACTGTGTGACCGGAGTTATCTGTGCTCAGCATAAAAACATCGTGACACAAACATTCTATGCGTCCATGGATATCTGCTCCCGTGGAAAGGAACTCAGCAGCCCGCTTCTTCACGAAGAGTTTCTGCACGGGTGCGAATGCGCCGGGGCGAAGCTGTTCAGCAGCCCCAGCCCTAGGCCGCTGTAGCGAGGTCTAAGCAAGCTGGGTGGCTGCGCACAGTAGGCCCGCTGGCCAGCAGCCTGGGCGCAGAGCTGAAGACGGCTGGGCCTGCAGTGCGATTTTAAATCCTGGAGCAGCCGAATTTGCAGAGCGGTGCCCGTCCCTTCCCCGCGCACCTGTGGAGGCTTCGCTCAGCTTGCGGCACAGGGGCCGGGGGCAGACGCTGCGCTCAGAGACCCTGCGGCTGCAAAGGACCTGGAGGGGAAGCGACGACCAGGTGCCCCAGCCCAGCCTGCGGGCCAGTGGCCGGAGAGGGGGTTCCAGAGGAGGTGACGCCTCAGCGGATTTCAAAGAACAAAGTGCAATGAAATAAGTACATTAAGTCAAGCCGGAACAGACAAGCGGAAAGAAGGTGTCGCAGGCCACAGCACAGGGGTGGCTGGGGGGTGGGCGGGGGAGTGGGAGAGGGTGGTCCACACGCCCCATCACTGGAGGACGAGGCCACGCTGGACGCACGGGCAGGGACACCGGGGGGGCGGGGGGAGCCTTCCGCCACAGCGTGGATTCCGACCGCTCAGCGTCCACGCACCTCAAAAACGCCGTCGGAGGGCGGTGAGCCACGTGGGGACACAAAGGTGGGACCCGCGGCCTTCGGGACCTGCCAGCCCCGG